AAACAAGAGGTGGCAACAAGTATTTCAATACTTTTGTCGACGATAGCACTAAATACTGTTATGTGTATTTGTTAAAAAGTAAAGATGAAGTTATGGAGAAATTTGTTCTCTGTAAAAGTGAAGTTGAAACTCAACTTAATAAGAAAATTAAGGTGTTAAGAAGCGATCGAGGTGGTGAGTATGAATCACCATTTACGGAATTCTATGCACAACACGGAATCATACATGAAATCACCGCACCTTATTCACCACAACAAAACGGTGTTGTTGAACAGAAAAATCGTACTTTAAAGGAAATGATGAATGCAATGTTAGTAAGTTCTGGGTTACCTTAGAACATGTGGGGGGAAGCTATGTTATCAGCAAATTACCTATCAAATAAGGTGCCTCGAAAGAAAATAGAAAAAACCCCTTCTGAGTTATGGAAAGGAAGAAAGTCTTCCTATAAGTACTTATGAGTGTGGGGTGTCTTGCTAAAGTGGCTGTTCCAACACCAAAAAAGGTAAGGATAGGGCCAAAAATGGTAAATTGCATCTTCATTGGCTATGCACACAATAGTAGTGCTTATCGATTTCTTGTGTATAATTCTAAAATCCCAGACATACACAAAAACACAATATTGAAATTAAGAAATGCTTCATTCTTTGAAAATGTATTTTCGTACAAATCCAAAGAGGAAGCAAGCTCCTCCAAAGGAATATATGAGACTATGACTGAAAATAGTCATAACGAAGAACTAGAAGAGGAGACTGAGGCTAGACATAACAAACGGGAAAGGGCAGAAAATTCGTATGGTCCTAATTTTCTAACCTATATGCTGGAAAGTGAATCTCAAAGTTATCAAGAGGTTGTGAATTCCTCGGAAGGGCCTCAATGGAAGGAGGCCATTAAAAGTGAGATAGATTCCATACAACAAAATCATACATGGGAGCAAGTTGATCTTTCTCCAGGAAGCAAATCACTAGGTTATAAATAGATTTTCAAAAGGAAAATGAGAGTAGATGGAATTATTGAAAAGTATAAGGTCAGATTAGTAATAAAATGTTACAAACAAATGGAATGCCTTGATTAATTTGATACGTATTCTCCAGCGACGAGAATAACATCCATTAGGTTGATACTTGTGATTGTCGCTTTGCGAAATCTTGAAATACATCAAATGGATGTTAAAACTGTATTTCTAAATGGAGATTTAGAAGAAGAAATCTATATGGAACAACCCAAGAGGTTTTCGTCACCAGGGCAGGAAAAGAAAGTTTGTAAATTGGTGAAGTTGCTATATAGCTTGAAACAAGCACCCAAATAATGGCATGAAAAATTTGATAATGTCATGATAGAGAGTGGATTTAAAATCAATGAGTGTGACAAATGTGTTTACGTCAAAGACACTAAAGATGGTTATGTTATTTTGTGTCTTAACGTTGACGACATGATTATTGTTGTTAGTGACAATAAGATGATTTAGAAGAAATCTATATGGAACAACCTGAGGGGTTTTCGTCACCAGGGCAGGAAAAGAAAGTTTGTAAATTGGTGAAGTTGTTATATGGCTTGAAACAAGCACCCACATAATGGCATGAAAAATTTGATAATGTCATGATAGAGAGTGGATTTAAAATCAATGAGTGTGACAAATGTGTTTACGTCAAAGACACTAAAGATGGTTATGTTATTTTGTGTCTTAACGTTGACGACATGATTATTGTTGTTAGTGACAATAAGATGATTGAATCCACTAAAAATATGTTGAATTCGAGATTTGACATGAAAGGTATGGGTTTAGCTGATGTTATACTTGGAGTCAAAATCTCTCAAAATCTCAAGAATATCAGATGGGTTTGTTTTAAGTCAGTCACATTATGTAAACAAAATTTTGGAAAAGTTCAATAGGGATAATACTGACTTGGCTAGAACACTGATAGATACAAGTCAACATCTATCTAAAAACAAAGGTGAAAGTATCTCTCAAGTAGAACACTCGAGAGTTATTGAAAGTTTAATGTATTTGATGAGTTGTACAAAACCAAACATAGCCTACACAGTCAGTAAACTGAGCAGATACAAGAGTAATCCAGGAGCTAATCACTGAAAAGGAATAGTAAGAGTACTAAGGTACTTAAGATATACTTATGACTATGTACTACATTATACCAAATATTCAGTGGTCATTGAAGGATACAGTGATGCTAATTGGATATCTAATATAAAAGACTCAAAGTCCACCAGTGGATTTGTGTTCACATTGGGAGGTGCTGCCATATCGTGGAAATCCTCTAAGCAAATAGTTATAGCCAGATCTAGGATGGAATCTGAGTTTATAGCTCTAGATAAATGTGGTGAAGAGGTCGAATGGTTGCACAACTTCTTAGAGGATATTCTAAGATAGTCAAAACCTGTGCCAACAATTTGCATATATTGTGATAGTCAATCAGCAATAGGAATGACACAGAGTAACATGTACAATGGTAAGTCTAGACATAATACCATAAGACAACTACTCTCAACTGGAATTATCACTATTGATACATTGCGGATCCGCTAACCAAAGGGTTAAACAGATAGTTAGTTGAGAAATCATCGAAAGGAATGTGATTTAAGCCCTTGAATGAATAAGTCATTACAAAAGAAATCCAACCTAATTGACTGGAGATCCCAAGATTTAGGTTCAAAGGGATAACCTAATTGTAAAGGCTTAATAAAATCATTGTGGGGGGGGGGGGTGTCTTCTTCTGTCCATTCCTATGATGTAATAGTGATGCCCGTGAGGATGAAGGATAAGCAATAGACTTTTAAAGATTCTTATGCGTCGAAGTTCGAGTCAAGTAATGCGGGATACTTGTAATAAAAAATCACCTATCTGAGAGAGAAATGGGGTCGCTTCTAAGAGAATTGTGTGGGGCTCGATTCTTAAGAACTCTCACAGAATCAGGCATATGTTCATGGCCAAAACGAATATAATAATGAGAACTGAATTGTGTTAAGAAGAATCTTGTGTGAAGTATATCATCGTTTACATAAACAGCAGAACAGTTCAAGGACAACACGTCTATTGGTCAGCTAGTAAAGTAAATATACTTTCACAAGGGAAGGTTCAAAGGGTAATACCTACCTATCCTACGCAGGCTTCAACCGTTGAACTTTATCACCTAGTCTTGTGTTTCACGGTCACCAAGTCTTGTGTCTCACGGTCTCATGTCTCTCCCAATTTTCATTCATGTGGGGGATTATTGGAAAAAATGAGTAAATGACTCACTTTTGGCAAAATTTTCGACGGGACCTATTGGTCGAATTTGGAAGATCGAAGTTGATCCTTGTTCTGTTCTGTGAGAGTATCGAAATCATATATTTATTTGCCAAAATTGATGAACGAATGAATGAGAAATTGGAACTCAAAGATGACCATTGAAAGATGGTTATATGGGAAAAACTGAAGTTAGTCCCACATTGGAAAAATTTGAAAGCAAGAACCACTTTAATTATGGTTGCGCATTGGAAGGGTGTAATCATGTATAGCATAGAGGCTCTCTCCACGTGCGCGCGTATGGGGTGCAAATCTCGGATCAAAATTGCCTTCGGACCTTAAACTTGTGTGCGGGTGCGACCTATGTACACGAATGTCAGACCGAAGGGAGCAAAAATTGGCCCCTTTGAAGAGCCCATGTTTTGCAATTTTTTTGCTTTCTCCACTGACTTTTGAGTTTCTGAAACTTCCAAAGCTCTCAGAAACTGAAGTGACTCCAATTTTAATTGCCATAGAGTTAATGACAGATTTATACTATATTAAATCTCAAATTTTCCAGCAATAAAACATATGAAAAATCTCACCAAGAAAACATACAAAATTCTCTCTGCACGAAAATTCCCAAATTCTATCGTTGTCTTCTTTCTGTCCAGTGAAGTTGTCGCAGTGGTGATACTGTTCAGATGCTAAATCGGTTCGCCGAAGTAGTTTCTATAGTGCTTAGATTCTGCTGATTTTGCCGTTATATCTTGGGAAACAGACGCTCGAACTAGACCTCAAGCACTTACGGTGAGGAGACGAATCTGCTTTAAGAAAACTGTGTTTGCACAGGACTCGGGTTGAAAATTTATCTGCTATTTATTTAGTTTGCATTTTATTCTTGCAAATTTATTTATTTAGCGATTTACACGTCTCATATATTGTTTGTTAAATTTATATTAGAAATAGATTTCTAAAAGAGAAAAAAAATAAAATAAAATATACGTCTTTTTTTTTTTTTTTAATTCGTTATATGTGTGAAAAATAGATTTCACATATACGGTATTTTTATTTGCAAGTGAATAAATTTGTGTTATTTAAGTTAGTGTATGAATAAAAACACTTTATGCAAATACGGTAGGCAGCATATACGGTAAGCTGCAAATACAGTAAGGTGCAAATACGGTATGATAAGCTGCCTGGCATATATGATAAGCTGTCAAATACGATGAGCTGCCTGACATATAAGAAATATGAAAACTCTATTCCACTTCATACACTACCAAATAAATTTACCAACATAATTTTGAATAGAGATGAGGTAACTAGGCCAAGCCAACTCAAAAGACATTGCAATACATGAATTGAGACTAACTTTTTAATGATATCGACTTTTGCACAATTATAGTCATCTGGATCCTTTCTGTAACCTAGTTATTTCCTTTCTCATAGGCTATCAATATAGTTTATCCTCATGAATGAGAGTCTCCTTAAATTTAGGCTAGACATATTTAATCTATTAAATTAATCTTCCCTTTTGTGTCTAATCCTTCTCTACTGATTACCTGTGTCCATGTGCATGCAGCTATCCGCTTTGTTCAATAATTGGTTAGAGATTCCTTTTAAATCAGTAGCCAAAAGTAGGATGGCATCAAGAACCCGAGAAATAATCAACACTAATGACCTTTTACTTTTAATTACGTGTCAACCAATTGAATTAATATGGTGTTTGTTGATTTTTAATGTTTATTAATTTTTTAATCTGCCTAAAGTTTATGTTCTATGAATTTAACTCTATCAAAATGTTAGAACAAAGATTTGTGGCCTTTTTAAATTTCTCAGTGTTGAAAGCCAAGTTTGGCATCTCTTCATTGAATTCTGGAAATAGAAGAGCCGTTTTTAGTTTTAACGAAGAATGCATGCACTCATACATCATGGATTTACCAAACTCTGAAATTTTCTTTTCCAAGAACTTGAATATATTTATGAAAACATTTATTGATCCGATTGAACGCGAACTCCCATTGAAATGCAATAAAGTCGTTATCGAATTCATGAACTCTCAAACGATGATGATAGAATGCTATTAAGAATTTAGTTTGCCTTCATTGGATCACTTGATTTTCAGTTGAGATAGTTGAAACTCAATACATACATACGGTATCAGGGTTAGGGTCATAAATTTGAGTAAGAAGAATGTCATGCTGATGAAGAACTATGCCACTTTTGAAAAAGAATGTAAAAGACTCAACTATAATTCACAACGTCTTCAACGGAAATTCAAAAACATGAAAATCTCTTTGGTATCACTAACATAACCTAGTTTTATTCGATGAAGCTTTATTGACGGAGCCGATAACAGAAAATTAAACTTTGATGGATTTATTGACGGAAAATCGTGACTAACGACCTCTAATATGATTATAAAAATCATTTTATACTTAAGTTTCTTATACCAAGAATTCATCAAATTTTTAAAGAAATTTGGGTCTTCAATAACTAACAAGCATTTTCTAAAGCCACATTGAGAATGATATTTAGAAGAATTTGTAAAAAGAGATAACGTCTTTGTGATTCTTTGGACAAGGCTTGAATGTGTCTTTGTGATTCTTTGGACAAGGCTTGAATGTGTTTTCTTCTCTATAAAATTGACAAGAACGGAATTTGAGAAGCGTCGTCTTCTTATATACACGATGCTGTTGATTTCTGCACTAATGTGCTTACTTATACGGCTCGAAATGCAAGAAATAATTTTTTTTTTTTTGTTTATAACTTGTGATAAAGGTAAAATTTTCAGTTATTTTACATTCTTACAAGTATGTTAGTCTTTTTGAGACGAGATTCTACTTATATAAGTGTGTTTTGGAGTTTTAGGTAACGACGCTGAGCTTGGATGGAGTTTGAGCAAAAAAAGGTGGAAAATCAAAGGGTAAAATTTATGCAGGGACGGATTTGGGGGGGGGGGAGGACAGGGCTGGAGTCCCCCCCTCAGGCCCAACAACTTTTTTTAAAGGTATTTTTTTTTTGGGTAAAAAACCAGTTTTTTATGTGTAATTTTTTTTCCCCACGTAGTAGCTCGGTTTGAAATTTTATAACCCGGTCTTGAATCCAATCCTGGTTCCGCCTCTGAATTTATGTATTTGAGGAGATCTGAAGATGCCCCTCAGATGATTTTCAAACCAAAGGGAATGTTTTGAAGAATCAAGTAAGAATTTAGCTAGGGTTTTGGAATGGAAGAAATGAAAAATCAAAAAGAAAGAGAAAGCTTGGATTTATGGCTTAAAGCTCGTTAATTTAACTTCCCAACTTTACTTCTCTTTTGTTTTCAATCTCGTTGAACTCAAACTAGAATATATATGTTCATGGGATTTGATGATGATGTAAACATCTTATTGTTTTTCGATCGGCAAATATAAACTTCATAGATCAAAACTTCATAAACAAGTACAATGGGCATACCCGGACAAAACAAACATCAAGAGTCAATTACAAATACACCGGACATACTCGGGTAGTAAAAAGAAACGGCGTACAAACTATAATAGCTAAGAGGTCAAAGCTAATGATTCATAATGAAGTAAACATCTTAGATAGGGCAACATTGTGACCTAGTTTTCACACTTAAATATCAATTATTTTGACTTGATGTCTATCTAGCAAACAGTTGTTTTTATAGCAAAGATTATAAATTTAGATAGGAGATATGTATATACTTTAATGGTTTGTGTGATCGTATATGAATTTCTATTGTTTTTAATATGCTTTTGTTTATCGTGATTTATACAGAAATATAGTAAATTCATATATGAAAGTAATTTTTATTTTTTTGGAAAGAGATTATCGAATGAACTTAAAAATTGAACTCTATTACATGGATGTATATTGTGAGAATGTAGTAAACGAAATTGAAATCGATTGAGATGATGAAATCATTTGTCGTAACATGTTATTTATCTTATGGATTTTTTTTCAAGTCTAGCTAGATAATTACTTATCATTGTTTTTATTAGCATTAAGTTACAAATCACCCAAATTGATTGTTCAACTTAAGTTAGAATTAATCAATTTCTATACTTGATAACATAATTTATTCACACCCTTTATTATTTGTTTGATTCATAAACTTGCGATATCACATAAAAAAATTGCAAAGTACGAAGCCGATATTAATGAATTTTTTACAAAAATTATCTAATGCTTGATGGACAAGGTCAATGAACAAAGTACGTGACTGTTTTTCTATAAGTTAATCATGTTCATTAAAAGCTGTACATTGTTCAAAAAATGTTGTATTCATAAAAAAAATTGTAGGGTCAACTGAAAATGAAAATTCGGTTTCAGCGCCTACATATTTATTTTTCTTTGGGTGGTAATTATCAACTAATTTTTAAATTTCTTAAAAATGTAATGGTCCTAGATAATGTACTTATATTTTGGAAGGATAAAACAAATGGTACGATAATAGCAACAATTAAAAGGCTTATTCAGAATAATAATAAAAAGGAGAAAAGGTAGAAAATAAAAATATTAATAAATAACTTGATAACATTTATTTTTTTAAATTTCTTTCTCGACACGACGAAAAAGTGCTGATAAAATTTTTTTGACTGAAATTTTCCTACCAGTAAAACCTTTCACCAAAGAAATTTTCCCTTTAGTGACAAAGTTAATCTTTTAAAATTAAACTCAAATCTTAAAAGGATCGTAGAGCCAACAATTCAATAAAAGTTTTGAAAAAAATGAATTAAATTTGTCTTACGAGAAACACTGGTAAACCAAAGCATGCACGAAGTTCTTGGTCTTAAGAGAATATGAAAGTTTCGGCCTTTCGTTATGGATTGAAAATAGTAAATTAGTATGGCCTTCATTTAAAGCAGTATATAGTTTGCCACCAATTAATAAATTTTTGGAGAACTTTATGAAAGAAAATTTAATTGAATAATGTGTCAACATTTTATGTGTTCAAACCTCGTTATGTTCTGACTATAAAACTTATGGGTATGTACTTCAATAAACTTAATCTTAAGGGTAAAATCTAAGCAGCTTATATATTGACAAATCCTTATATAAACAATTGGCATTTTAAGATGGAACACTACCAAAGTCCAATTGAGTATTTTTTGGCCCCCATTTTCTGAAAATGAAAATGGGTGGAATAGTGTTTTTTGGAAAAATGAGTAGTTGAAAAAGAAGGAAAAACTTTCGATTTATGTATAATATTATTTTATAGAAAATTGTGTGATTAAAAACAAAAGAGAGAAAAATAGAATGTGATGGAATGAAATTAATGGGGGCCAAATATGTTTGAAAAGGTCAAACAAGTTACCAATTGACGGCAGCATATTAGAGTAAGATCCCGCATCATTTAAAGATAAAAACTTAACAAGATTGCTATTTTAAGTTAAAACTCGAAGACTCAATAATTACATAACATATTGCTTTATTTGAAACCATCACCACCTTTATACAATACATAAAAATATTTTCACATATATAAGATCATACATTGTTATTCCATAACCAAATTCTATATAACATTTAGCTTCAAATTGAGCCATCAAAACAAAGCAAGAAAAGGATACAAGGAAAATTTTGAAAATTTTATTAGGCAAATCATAACCTTTTTCCCTCTAGTTTCCATAATATAAACACAGCCCCAGGCCCCAACACCCTCAGTCTTGAATTTAAGAATTTCTTGGAACCTGCAAATAATTTCAAGGTAAATTAATCACTTTTGTGAAATCTACGATCTGTTCTACTTATTTTCAAATGCACAATACACACATAAGTAGCGAGGGGGAGGCTTGGTTTAATTAACTTTATAAGTTAAGTTTAGGTTGCTTTAAGCTTTATGATACATATCGCATGTGTTAGTTGACAACATGATGAAACACTATAATGAATAAAATTTTAACTTATATATCCTTCCTAATAGCGATCCATCCTATCAAACAAACCAATCATATTTCAAATCAATAACAAAATTTCCTTTGTTAATTAACTCATATGAATTCTATTAATATATCGTAATAGTAAAGGTCACAATTTAACACATATTCTTGTTGAAATATGAAATTAATTCATTGAAATTGCATGATTTGAGTATTGAAGATCATATTGCAATGTAATAAAGTTAGGATCCTGTTAATTATGAATAATTTAGTTTTAAGGACTGAGTTATGTATTTTTATCAGATACAACAAAATGTGTGCAATCATTCGCTGAATCTCGCATATTTAATTCCTAATTAATAACATACACAGAGAATATGGACAAAAATTTCTTTCAATCTGATTTAAATCCCTTTTCAATATATATATATATTTAATCCTAAAAATGATAACTTTATTCGAAGTTTTTTCCTAAAAATTTTGAATTCTTTGTTAAATTTCAAATTAAAAAAAATAAAACAAAATCCTTGGGAATAAAGTATACTAAGGTAATATAAACATATTCGGTGGTAAGATTGGATAGTACTCAAAACTAATACTAAACCTCTATTTGTTTCCCATTATTTGGTCATTAAAGTGAAAAATATGACCGTTATTCATCACATCAACTCACCATATTTAAATTTCTATCTCTTGTATGGGGTCCGTAACAGTTATATTTTTCATTTCCATTTTTACATTAATGGAAAACATACGGGTCTAAATAAATTATTATTATTACTGTTCGATTTCTTTCAATGTTATGCATTAAAGACCGACCGACATTAGTGACAGTGCAGTTAAATTTGACTTGATTTATGGGATACAATTTCCAAAGTAGTTTCCATAATTTGGTATTGATTGCTTACCAGGAAATAGCTTTCACCTTGCTGCAAACTCTGCAGCAGAAAACCAAACTCATTTACTTGAACTGGTACTCCTGACGAATGAAATAAGATAAATTCTTCACCAAAAATGGATTTCATGTCCACCGCCCCCCGAGGTACTTCTGTTGGAATTCCATTGATAAACACTGCAATCAATCCTGAATAGTTTTTCAGAACGAAGCAGTTCAACACAGGATCGAACTAGACAAATAATGGATCCGAATCTTAGGAACACTAATTTATGATAATATGCAATGTGACAATCTTTTTACGAATCACAATTCTTTAATCCTAGAGAACGATTAGAAAATTAAGCTCTAATTGTAGTATAATAGTTGTACCAAGAAGTTTAGGGTTTGGACTAAACTGAAAAAATAATGAAAACATGGATAAAATCTACTGAAAAGGGAAATAATTGCAATACTTCCTTCAAATCTGTCAAGATCTAATAGCAAAAAATGGAAAAAAAATAAAATAAAAAAATCAATTACCAGACTGATATTGCAAGTTAGAAGTTTCAGCAGGGCAATAAATTGAAGGGCTTTGCTCAATATCCTGGAGGCCCGGATGGGCGCCGGAAAATGAGAAGAGATTATCGTAATTCTCATAGCCGATGAGGCTATAAGACACAGAACACATAGGGGAACACAGTGAATTGGAAGCAAAACCAGCAGAATTAGAACTGGTATTTTCACACTGAATTGAACCACCAGAACTTGAAGTCTGAGTTTGTTGTTCTCCAGCAAGGTTAGCCTGAATTTGTCGTTGCCTCCGGCGAGACCTAGACCGCCGGTTTTGAAACCAGTAGAAAACATTGGCATCACCAACTGAGCCATATTTCTCAAGCACTTTTCTGATTCTCACAGTTTCGTTCTTTGGAGGATTTACCATACCACTATTGAAGATGGATTCAAGTATAAGGATTTGCTCGGGTTTCGGTGTCCACCTGGATCTCACCGGTTCGTTTCTCTCAATTTCAGAGCCATGGCTTGGCTGATTATTGGTGTCTTGGACTTGATCTTCCATGATTCAGTGAAAGAGAAGGAAAATAAGGATGAAAAAATGAAGGCACAGCGCACATAGTATAGTCCACAGTAAGGGTGCAAAATATTTGAAGGCCAAGAGGGAATGTCGCCTTGTGAAATTGCGCTATTACCCTTTCTGTTGAACTTCGTCTATAAGTTTAAAGGGGATATTACAAATTTATTTCTTTAATTTCTCTCATTACGTCCTCTCATATATATATATATATATGGATTAAAATTTACCTTTTCATCAAAAGTGTCACATTAACTTGAACCACTGACGGAATACTTTTATTTGCTTTGTTACTATGTTAAGTGCTTTTAATTAACTAAAATGATAAGATGTTTAAGAGACATAATTTGTTTATTTAAATTCTCTTCCATTGTTATACTATGAATCTATATTTTCTATATTTAGTTGTGTGGCAGCATACAAAGTTATTTCTTAAACAATTTAGCAATTAAATTGAGCATAGATTAATTAATTAATTAATTAATTGAAGAGTCTATTTTTGTTTAATTTGATGCCTCGAAAGTTTGATTATTCTTACATTATTAGGTTGGCCAGTCTTTAATATAGAGGGACGATGAGTCTAATATAACAAAGAGGAAATGAAACACGATATTAGATTATATCCCTAGCGTATAGAGTTTGCATGTAATAAAGGATTATTGTTGACTCTATTCATTTATATGAAAATCATTTTGATTCTTACTAACTGTTATTTTGCCATGGGTTAAGAAACATATACAGGCAATAATTGAGGGCAACTTTATCCAAAATCACTTTACAATCCTAAGGCCTTACACCAAAATAGTTATATATGTAATTTATGATATGCGAGTATGTATAAGGTCACAATTTGTGGAATTTTGTTGCCAATAATTAGCCCGCAAGATGTTGCATGTTTTCAAAACTGTTTAAAACAAATTACTAAATAACAATGTGAGATCAAAGAACATGCTTAAAAACTTGTTCACTTTTTAAAAGCAAAATTCGTTAATTCAGTATAAATAGATAATACTTGACATAGATTGATCATAAAAAACTCTTATATATATTAAATAATAAAAAGGAAATACATATTAGAAAAAAAGTCGACCTTGCTGCATCATTTTGAATTAAAGAGAAATTTCAAAAAATGACGATTGCAATTCACTCTATTAATAACTGATGTGAATGTGCCCTGCTTACTAACCTTGGCGACATCCATACAATAATAAACGAGACAAAAGGCTGCGATTCTGCGAGGATAAACCTTGTCCCGTCTTCATCATACTATAACATAATTAATCTAACTAATAAAAATGCAAAACAATTATTTATTTATTTATATTTTATCTCCGACAATCATCCCACTCCTCCCCACCCTTTCCTGAGTTTGTACCCAACATTATGCGTTAAAGCTTGTAATCCATCCTCATTTCTTGCTACTTGGAATGATTTTTCCCCAGAATCAAGAGTGAAAGACCAAGAAATTCTCTATACTATTTCCTGCAATCTGGAGTATATTATAAATGCAATCCCAGATACAATGTTACAAGAGAACCATAAAATTTGATCTCTTCGACGGTTACAAATGATTTTAAACGACAAAAGTAACTTTTGAAAAAGGTCGAAGTTCAAGTGCATGAATGCTGAATATTCTTTAGGTACCCAAAATTTAAGACACCATGCACCCCTATAGGCTTTTCCAAAAGGATACGTGCCAATACTAAAACACTATTCTTTTCTAGCCGCTCAATTGTAGCCTATTCTTTTGTTCTAGTGTTGAAGGATTGGTATATTCCCAACATTTCCGTATCCTAATTATCTATGTTTGTGCTTTCTATAACTTGATCACAAGTTTTAAGAAGATTATCCACATATATAGCTATAACTCACTACAACAAATTAAAAATTGCCTTTTGCAACATTTGAAAAACGTTGCCATAGACCTTTTGCAGTGTTCGAGCATATATTGCAAACCTCGATGTTGCCGTAGGGTAGAAGGATACGGCAATGTTTTTTAAACGTTGTGAATAACCTTTTTGCAACATTCTACGAACGTTGAGAATAAATATTTGCAAAGATGACTCATAAAAATGCCAAAAAGTGATGTAAGGGTCAGGTCCCTCGCCAGTGCACACTCTAAAAAGTCCTCCCATATGATGAAAAGAAATGGTGCGGTAAACCCTTCAAATGATACGTCTGGTCACCATGCGGATCCCCCTATACTTCACATCATTCCTTTCAGTCCATAACAACCATAATATCAGTAGAGGAATGATAGTGCGAATGGGTCATCTACTAACGTACTGTCCAGAGTACCTTTGAATGTTGCAAATGACCTTTTTGTAGCGTTCTTTGAATGTTACTAATGAACTTTTTCCAACATTTTTTGCCTGTTGCCTATACTTTTATCCTCAGTTTTTTGCAACATATTTTGACTGTTGCCGTAGGTCTCTCTCTCATCATTTTTTTTGATAATGTTGTTTGATCGTTACAAAGGTAACACACACACACACACAAAATTTCCACAAATTAACCAATAAAATTGATAATAATTTCATTGGAATTTTTGAATCCACAACTAGAACACAACAATAAAATAAAATTCAATAGTTTCACCAAATAAGTCGATTGTAGTACAAAATTAACTTCAACGACTTTGATGTCAACATTCCTATGCAAGCATCTTTCATCTTCCATCTTACACCTTAGTTCTTCACTGAAATCTTCCATCTTTCATCATTCCAATCTATTTCACAGCTAATAATCAAATTCGAAGCAAAATACTGAAGTTGATAATTCAATAGATGACACAACACAAGTTCTGACAATGCATCCAATGTTTGCAGGAATCTGTATCACACACAAATCCCATATTCAAAGTACAAAATTTGAAAAATTGAATATGATAATATACAAGATTTTAAATTCTTTTTGTTTGAATATGATAATGAACAAGATTTTAGGGGTAGTACCAATTTCAATATCTAAATTGACAAGAAGAGAAAGATCAGTAGGATAAAAGCAGAACGCGTTTGACCTGCTCACAACAAATGATATAAGGTACTGTAGATCTCCAGTAGAACAACCGATGACGTATCCATTTTTCTTCAATCTGAGTGCTACCTAAGGAACCAAGATGTATAAACTTTTAAATCAATGGCACTATAAATAAAGGGATCATATATTACTTTTTTACTTACTTCAACATTAGGTTGATTTCTAGCATCTGGATAAGATTCAGGTGATTTTGTTAGGGACTTTGTGATCACATATGTTTCGAGTCGTACTTGTCCATCCCTCTTTTCCTCGTGCACCTGCAATTGATTCACACACCTTTACCCATCAATTTTTAATTATCGAGCCACTTAAGTCTTATCCAGGCAAAGAGCCTGGTGGATAAGTTACTCCACTACACCAATGAGTATAGGTTCAAATTCCCCCTTGCAACATGAGTATCTAGAAAAATGTTATGTCGCCCAGAGAAAAATTACTATGGTCCAAGGACAACTGTAGTAAACTGTTAAGCAAGCAGATATTTTTGTTGAGCGTGTTGTTCCAACACTAACCACCAACATTGCCAGTCAAGGGTAAGGTCCTCTACCTAGTCCTAGACACCTTTATGGCCAATGTACTTAGCAGACAATAAATCATAAATAATGGTAACAATTTTGTACGAGGCAGTCAATGTGTCATAATAAAAAACAATCCGTGAATTTTGTGCCAAAAAAAATACATCATTTAATTTTGAAATGATGTCAATCACACTGCTTAAATTTATTTGCCTGAAGTCCAGCTAAATGCCATAAGCTATAAAATCACCTGGGAGATACTGTTGGAATTGGTTCAAAAATTAATCGAAAATTGGTCAAGTGTAAAATTGGGAAAATGAAAAGATGTGACTTTGTGTCAATTTCGATCGAATGTTCGGACTTGATCCGATGGTCAAATTACAAAAGTAAATAGATCAACTTATTCTACTTGTTGAGTAGATCGTCGTGATATATTTGAAATCTCGAAACCAATTTCGGATGAATGAGAAATTGCAATCCAAAGTTGGAAGAATAAAGTGTTTCAACTTTTCGAAAGGATGCAAGTTTCAAATGAAGCGTTCCAACTTTCCATGAAAATGCTGGATTTGGGGTGTGTCCCTTCACCTACAAACCTTCACCTTCTATAAATAGGACCCCTTGGATGTGTATTTGTCATTCCAATTCATTCCATAATTCCATATTATTCATCTCATGTTAAGTTACATAAAACACTTTGTAGAAGTGATTATCTTTTGCATCAAAATCATTGTTATGGTAGAGAGGGAATTTCGTTTGAGTTCGTTGTTCGAAGTCATTTGGAGTGCTCCTATGACTTTACGTGATTGTTGTATCTTGGGAGAGGATTGTTGAAAAACCGTTAGCACTGATGTGGGACTGATTCATCTTAAGGAAAGAATTATACTCGCCTTGGTCAATTGCATCACTTGCATCTAATTTTTTCTTATTTCTGATTTCATTTCTTCATACTTGATTTCAGAAAATGATAATTTTATTTATATGGTTTATACAAGGTTCGATATGAAGAATCACATGTTTTAATTCAAGAATGGAAATGGTCAGATTCAATAATCATTGGTTAGTTTCTCAAACTACATTTCGGTAAGTCGAAACCTTGTTTCGATTTAATGAACGTGTAAGTTACGTTTTGTGAATATAATATGCATATTTGAATCGGTGTATTCCCCAATAATCTTAAGATGAATTTTCTTATACATATTATATTTTATCTGCAATCGAAATCAAGATACTGCATGAATAAAATCATAAGACAGAATTTTGACGTATCATGATTCTAGTAAATGTGTTCTATTACAACATTTTAATTAGAGATTAATTCAAGAGGTGTGTCCTTTTGTAGGGTTATGTCTCTTGAAGAATACAACTTTTCAACCTATGGTTGAAAAGTTCTTTCAAGTTTGAATATGATGAATAAGGTGAATATGTACCTTATTATTTGACATAAAATGAAACTATCATGTGAAATGTCATAA